GCCATATTCGTCCTGTGCAACTGAACTGAACTGAACTGAACTGAACTGAACTGAACTGAAAGCCCCGCTGGTTTCAACCTGAAGGTCGTTGTGTCGCATGGGTGTGCTTCAGAGGATTCCCGCTTCGGTTCCTTCTGGGAGCTCTCTGATAACTTTGCGATCCATCTCTTTGGTTATGTGATATGCGGTTTTTTGCTTTGTTTTTGTTTCCGTTTACATGTTATAGAGTTGGCCTTTAGACTAATGTAAACTATCGATACACATAGATGTACGTAAACCGATCAATCTTTTGATTGAGTTTTAGCTGAGGTTATTAAAAAGATATTTATGTCAAATTCTGATTGTTATTCAAGTGCATAGAGGCTTGTTGGGATACGTTTAGTTCCGTTTACATGCTCACGTGAATTCATTTTAGATCATCCTTCTCAGGACAAAATATACCTCTTGTCAAGCACGCGTCCAGTTCCTTGTGTTGTGGGCAGATGTGCCTCCAACACTGCGTATTCGTTTGGTAAATGTGTTCCAATTGTCGAGGTTATAACAAACGGTGCCATATAAGAAGTAAAACTTATCTTCTCGGCCGTTCGGTGATGGATCTACATTAAAAGAGTTCCATTGTTGCTTATGCACCGTACGCCTCACAACAGGGAAGTCTCTTACTCTGTAGGTCCCCTTCTTTGCATCTTTTTGGGCCCGTCGATACCCATGGAAACCCTGTGTTAGCCACTGACCTCCGCGAACATCTCCGCCCAAAATCAATCCAGTGCCTCCTTAAAGTTGTTCACACTTTTGCAATTTCTTCAGGTAATTTCACATAGGTGTGAACCTGTGTGAAAAAAATTTAGCTCGAATCTCCAGCCGAGCATAGTTCCGTTGCAGCCTGAGGCCTCTCGTGCAGTGAGTAGGGGCTAGGGTAAGTCTCTGTCAAGTCACCGCACTCTACTGCGTTAAAGCGAAAAGAGACTGAGACCCCATAGTCTTCATAACTTTTACCCCTCCATCTAGCTGCCATTCGGGTGGCCAGACGCTTTACCTTCTCTAAGCATACTATGCCCTTCCTGTAATAGGAGGTCCACGCCTGGACACAATATTCGAAGTGAGGGTGAACGATAGTCTTATACAACGTTACGAAAACCTCCGGTTGTCTGCTAGTGACTGCTGGAAATAGGCGAAATAATTCCCCTCTGGCCTTGTTCGTTACCGAAGTATTGAGCTGAAGGCTGAAAGTTGATTCATAACAACCCCGAGAGCTCTCACCTGAGAGCCCCCTTGTAGCGATAGATCGTTTACCAAATACGTGTTGGGTCTGGTGACTAAAAGCCGTCCGGTTCAATACCACGCCTAAACTGTGGGGGCCCTATGTGGTTCGCTACTCCAAGTCCCGGGGCTTAGGATGCCGGTTTCCACATCTGAACAGCAGGTCCTTGTGACAATGGAGTTCGCCCCGTCTGCTGTTCATCACACTTAGGTGTGTAATAGAAAAAAGGTGAGATTCAACGGCAGATGCCACTGAACAGTTCATCGGTGAACTATCTCTAAATCCCTCTGCAAGTATGTGACCGTCATTTTGACTTCATCGGCATAAAGGATTTGGGGAAACGTGCCAGGTGGCTTTTGAACATTAGGAACAGTAGGGGTCCTAACCCAGAGCCTTGAGGGACCCCGCTTGTGACCACTTCAGTTTCCGACTCATAGTCTCCTACCTTCACACTAAAGGTACGATTGCTCAAAACACGCTGAAAAGTCAATTCCTTGGGTTGCCCACTATACCGAGGCTTGTAATTTGACATCCAATAGCTGATGGCTGACGGGGTCCAAGGCCTTGCAGGAAAAAAGTAGCCTACTTCTACGTATCTGTCTTCGTCCAACTGTCATGTAACCCCATCCATATGAACTCCGCTCAACGAAACCATGCTCTATCGGTGTCAGACAGCTATCGCTAGACAGCTTGGCTGTCGCCCGGTTCTATACCGCGCTTGAACTGTCGAAACCTTACGTGGTTCGCCACTCCAACGAGACTGCATCTTGATGTGGTGTGATGGCTTGTGCACCTCTCTGACCCAACGAGCTCCACAGGATGGCTTTTGTCAAGCCGAAGATCTAATCCCGGAAGGTCGAAGGGTAGAGGTCGGACGAAGTCCAGTCTCGTGGTCCTCCAGGTCGGGGGTTCGACTAGAATTTGCGTTTCAGTCGGTAAAAATGGTGGAGGAGTAGTTGATCCAAGTAACTTGGCCTCCACGTCGCTTCACCCGCTGCCTTGCGGCTAGGTTCTTGTCAGGACTACAGGCTTTGGTTGAGAACCCTAATCGTTCTCCAGCTTAGTGGCTGGACACCCTAGCAGTACCCGTCCATTAACCCCGGTGCATATACATCACGAGTTTGGCAGCGATCAGTGAAGTTCGGTTCTCTGTATCACGCTGTACGATGATGACTCCAAGTCCCGGGGATCAGGTTGCTGGTTACCATCAATCAGCAGGTTGTTGGGGGTTCAAAGTGAATGATTATCCAGGTAGAAAGACAGCCGGGTCTCAGCGCGATTCCAGTTATCGGTGCTCTGTGTGCTAGTAGTTGACCATCGCGGACTAGGTTTTTTATCACACCAGTGTGTGATGGACAGCAGAGGGGCGAACCCCATAGTCACGAGGACCCGCTGTGCAATGGTGGAAACCGGCTTGCGGACAAGCATGGTTCCAACACCAACCATTGCGGAAAGGCCGCGTGCGATTATCAGAACCGATGGAGTGCATTGTGCAGGATTCAGTGAGAAGCCGAAGCGTCAGAAAACGGAAAATTATGCGCCTCACGGCACAGCGGATTTACGACCATACGGTACACCTTCAGCTGTTTGTTAGGTTAACCTTGTTCATTTTGTTCCCCGATGGAAAACTAGGGACAACACGGGAAACCGTGCTAAGGGTGATCATATCCGTGGACGCTTAGGAATGGACTACTACAGATACCTGGGGACGGAAGCAAAGCCACCCACACCTTTTTGGTTGTGGCAGTGGTGATCTATCTCAGTACGGTATTGAGGTGTATTCAACACTTCGGACGTTTGATCCCGTCTAAGGGGTATATGATTGCGGCCTTCCCAGGCCTCCAGCTGCCTCGTGGCTCGGGCATTGAATAGCCAAAAGCTCCGGTTGTGAATTGCCCAAGAAAATTCATCGGTCTGGGTAGCCTGGCAGTATGCCACTCAAAAGCAAATCATGGAACGTTTCTCTTTGTCATTAAGATTACTGTACCTTGATTTGTTTGGCATACGGTCTGTCTTTAGACGTATGTACCATAAATATTCCTCGAACACACTTTCCAAACATCGTTTCCTTACCATAGACATTGAATAATGATGCCACGTTTCATTTCCATTTCAGGTGTTTTCCATGTATGAATCTTGGAGTCCAATTTTTCTCCAATTATTCCTAGAATGAGTCGCAAAACGGAACCACTGGTAACAGTCTCCCTGTTTCGATCATTTTTGTTAATGTGCCCATTCCAGATTGAGTTCGAATTCGAAAGTGACAAGTATGATGAGGCCAATCCACTGGTCCTTCCAGGCAAACGGAACAAAACAGCTCGTGAATTGCAGAAGAAAAAGGAGATCAAACAAACAGAGGCTACACAGGCAAAAGTTTTGTCGAGGAAAAAGCGGAAGGAATTAGAGCGTAAAATTGCTCAAAAACAGAAAAAATTAACGGTAGAGTACTTTTGGTAGTAGTAGTTACCAAATTTTCCCTTGACAGCGTGCTGAGTTATGGAAAGAACTGGAAGCATATGCACCAACTGTGAACGAGCCGAAGGTGTCTGTTCTGCCGCTGTTCAACAGAACCAAGAAGCCCGCCAAAACGAAGGACGAGTAAGTCTGTCCGTCGAAACTAGGATGAGCAGAGTGTAGAAACCAAAAAGTTGTATCAAAATGCAAATCTTGGAAGGGAGTACCGGTCGATCGTGTCTCGGAATCTTCAAAAAGCACGGATGAATATAGCACAGATGAAGAAATGGAGGAAGATAAATCTGAAGAAAAAATCACACCTGAAAACCTCCCCACTGTCCTCAAACCCTCTGGAGTATCCGATCCCCAAGGTAGTGATAATCGGGAAACGGAAGCAACGTCTGTGTCTCCCACCCAATCTTCTGAGCAGGTGGTACCTTCGAAACCGTAAGTTTTCAGGGNTCAGGGTTGTGCCAAATGTCATTTTTCCCGACTGTTAATTCCAGTCCCCAACCCGCTCGTTACGTGCTCGTCTCACGAACACCGGAGGTCACTGCGGCCAGACTAACTCTGCCGATTATTGCAGATGAGGCGTCAATCATGGAGGCGATTAGCGAACACGACTGTGTGATTATATGCGGGGCAACTGGATGTGGTAAGACCACGCAAGTTCCCCAGTTCCTCTACGAGGCTGGTTACACCAAGTAAGTTTGGGAGTGAACGAGATGTGTTGTTTTGTTTTTAATATTTTTTATTGCACATATTGTGAATTACGATAAAAAGGGAACTCCCCATAGGCAAACATCTTACTGTAAAAGAGAGAGTAGGGGAACATTCACATGAGATCCAGGTTGTTGATTCTGAC